AAACTGTATTTCCACTGATATTTCAGCCTTTAAAAGAAAATGTGGGGACTTTGTCTTTTTTTTTTGTTTGTTTTTTGTGTTTGGTTTTTTTTTTTTTTTTGAGACAGAGTCTCTCTCTGTTGCCTGGGTTAGAGTGCTGTGGCATCGGCCTAGCTCACAGCAACCTCAAACTCCTGGGCTCAAGTAATCCTACTGCATCAGCCTCCCAAGTAGCTTGGCCAACAGTGTCTGGCACAATGCCCAGCTAATTTCTTTCTATTTTTAGTAGAAACGGGGTCTCGCTCTTGCTCAGGCCGGTCTCAAATTCCTGACCTCAAGTGATCCTCCCACTTTGGCCTCGAGAATGTGAGGACTTACAAGCCATACCACCTGGGCTGAAATCCTGGCTCTTATACTTCTTAGAAATCTGCCTTGAACAAGAGATTTAAGTACTCTGTGCCTCAGTTTCCCTATCTGTACAATAGGAATAAGAACACCTACTTCATAAACTGTTGCAAGGATTAAAAGATAAAACAATGATCATGCACCTAAGGGTTTATTTAGCATTTAGTCAATACTTAGAAAACATTAATTGTCTGTTTCACTTATCTTAGCAGCAAGTCTGCTGTGGTTTATGTATTATAAACATGGAGTCCTTCCCAAGTGTTTTGTTTATAAATTCAAGTTTATTGACTATGTTGAATTAGAGTGGGGTCTTATTGCAGTCAAATACTCACTGCAATAAAATGTGAATACATTTTGAGCACTGTAGAATACTATGCCATAACTACCAGGATGGATAAAACTTTTCACATTCAGGAATATTAGAAAAGCAAACAAAGAAAATAAACGACCCAAATGACGGAAATCGTATCAGTGATCAGTGCCCTGTGCAGATACTGCCCTTTGTGCAGGTGTGTAGCATGCACTGGGCTCCCACTAGGGGATTCGGATGTTACCGTCATGGTTTGCATCATTCATCCTTCCCACTGCATTTTATAAATTAAATCAATTTGAAAGCAACTTATTTTTAATAAAATAATAAACGGCAGTTTCCTCAGTCACATGGTGGGCAGAAGCTCTAGAAATCTTCCTCCCTGTCCTGTTTGACATGCCGAGCAACCTGCCCTGGCCTCTCCCCTTGTTCCCAGGCCATCCTAGATACCGATCCTTTGGGGTGTGGAAAATGCCTTCTCCCAGCCAGTCGCCTATCTACCTACTTTGTCTGTGGTATTCTTTCTTGAGCAGAAATCCTTCATTTTTGAAGAAGGAAAATATATTTATTTTTGTATATTGTTTAAGAAACCTTTCCTCATTCAATATGTGTACAATTTTCTCTTACATTTTCTGCTACTAGCCTTGTATTTTAACTTTCACAGTTGAGTCTTAAATTCATTTGGAGTTTATTTTTTTTATTATTCATTCATTCATTTATTTAGAGGCAGGATCTCATTCTGTGACCCAGGCTGGAGTATAGTGACGTGATCACAGCTCACTGTAACCGCAAACCCCCGAGCTCACGAGATCCTCCTGCCTCAGCCTCCCATGTAGCTGGGACTACAGGTACATGTCACCATGCCCAGTTAATTTTTTTAAAATGTTTGTACAGACATGGTCTTGCTGTATTGCCCAAGCTGGTCTCCAACTCCTGGCCTCAAGTGATCCTCCAGACTCGGCCTCCCAAAGTGCTGGGATTACAGGATCGAGCCATTGCAACCAGCTGGAGTTAATTTTTTAAATAAAGGACATAAGATTCAGTTTTAATCTTATTTTTCTGTATATGATTAACCAATATCCTAACTTATCTACTAAATATTCCATACCTAGTCAAACTGGTTTGTGATGCCTCTTTATAATATACCAAATTTCCAATGTACCTGCTCTGCTTCTAGGCCCTGTGAGCTCATCCATTAAGCTACTTGCCTATTCCTGTGTTACCACCTCGTTGTTTCTGTTATTATGGCTGTGTAGTACAGCAGTATTTGTTAGGTCAGTTCGTTTTTCTTTTCTCAAACTTTCCTTAGCTATGCATGGACTTTTATTCTTTCATACGAATTTTAAAATCAGTTTGTCATTTCCTCACAACTCACAAAATTAGAACTTTGAATGGAATATCATTAAATTTGTAGATTAATTCTGAGGAAAATTAATATATTTGTATATTGTCATTCTACCCATGAACATGATATATGGCTTTATTTATATCTTATGTACTTGAATAGAATTTTAAAATTTTCTCAGTAAAGATCTAATGGGTTTATTGGTTAATTTTTAGATACTTTATAACTGCTGATATTTTAAATGAAACCTTGTTTACATTTAATGTTACTTTGTATTTAAGTTTCTAGTTAGTTAGGGCTGGCATAGGAAAACATGAATGATATCTTTTTTAATTGGCATTTTGTCATGCAACTTTGTTGGACATGTTACTGGGACGCCAAACCACCCAATGTTTGTCATCCCTCTCTACCAAAGATTACGAAGGAAGACTAACACTTCCTCAGCTCCCAAAGGCTCAGCAGTGAGTAAGCAGTATGTGAATTTGGGGATCTCTCTCAGACTTGCCACAGTGAAATCAGTAGGAATGAAGAGAAGGAGCTCCAAAGCGGAGACCATGAATTCCAACGGCTGCATAAAGGATAAGTGGTCTCGGTGTGAGGCAACAGGGAAGGGTGGGGACTGGGGCATGAGTGTAACTAGAAGGGGCAGACCTGCTCAGCCTCCACTACTTCTTGCTGTGTAGCGACGAAAGTCCAGTTTTCTCACATTGTTAGAGCTTTAAGGAGAAGCTCTAAATTTTTGCTTTTACAATGCTAGAAACTAATTGAGATATTTAAAAATATTGAGTGGACCAGAAATATTACATCTGTTGGCTAGATTTGTTTTACAATCCATTAGTCCACACCCTTGGTCTAAGAGTGTCCCAAGTGGAGGGGACATTAGGGCAATACCTGGTTATCACTTCCGTCCCCTACCCTCCCATCCCTTTTTCCATCCCCTTACCCCATGGTGCCTTCACTGTGCAGGGCTCTATTCCTGCCAGCCTGGACACCAGCCTTGTGGGAAGACGGTTTAGAACTTAGGGAGAGAAGGTCTAGGCTTGGGAAGGTGTGGGCTGGATCCGGATGATACAGCCTTGGGACCTCCCCAGAGAGCAGAAGTCTAAGATGGGACAGGGACTGACAGCTGGACTACCAGCTTCGCCTGAAGTGGTTTGTTCTTGGAACCACACCAGCACTTCCTGGCCTCACGTAAAGAAGAGCAGCTTGGGACAACCACCTCAGATCAGGGGCCTTCCAGGCATGAGCCCATCTTCTGGACCTGAGCCAGCTCTCCACAGTGCCTTCAGTTGCTGGTAAGGGCTGAACGGTGTCCCCTGCGCCACCTGCCGGATTCACATGTTGAATCCTAACCTCGAGTACCTCAAAAGGTGACTGTATTTGAGGATAGGGCTTTTAAAGAGGTAATTAAGGCAAAATGAGGTCATATGTGTGTGCCTTAATTCAAATAAGACTAGCGTCCCTGTAAGAAGAGATTAGGACACAGACACAGAGGGAGGACCATATGCAGATACCCAGAGATGACAGTCATCTTATAGATGGCCGAGAAGACTTAGAAGGAACCAACCCTACTGACACCTTGATCCTGGACTTCCAGCCTCCAGAATTGTGAGAAAATAAATTTCTGTTGTTTAAACCACCCGGTATATGGCACTTTGTTATGGCAGCCCCAGCAAACTAGTACATTTGGGAAACTGAGGTACAGAGTTGGGTGTGAAGGTTTATTGGGATCAATGTTAGGAAATCCTACAAGAACGAGAGGAAGGCAGAGTCGGGCAGGGTGAGAAGTGGGGCTGCAGTGAGGCTGCGACCACGGTGGAGTTCTGGAGCCGGACGTCCGTCAGGGCCGTTCCACGCTGAGGAAAGGGGCCTTTGCGATCGTACGTCAGTCATTCTTGAGGTGAAGGGGCGTGCTTGTGCTCCCAGGGGAATATTCGGCAAGGTGCGGGGACATTTTTAGCTGTCATGTTGGAGTGGAGGCATGTCCTCTACTGACACCCAGGCGGTAGAATTGAGAGGTGCTGCTTACCACTGTACAGTGCACAAGGCACGCACCCCCTTCAACAAAGAGCCATCCAGCCCACGTGTCAGCAGTGCTGAGACCGAGAAACCCTGCTCCATCAGCACATCCACAAGCCATGGGCACGGGCTGCTCGGGCAAGGGCGTGACCTTAGGCAGGTCTCCCCAGCCGAGGCCCATTCCCAGGGAGAGGAGTGGCCGTGAGCTGCCAGTAGCCCGTGTTCTCAGCGGCGGGGAGATGGGTGTGTTTGCCATGAAGAGAGGATCTGGGCGAAGCGAAGTGTCCACTCTCTGAACCCTCGGATTTCTCTAATAAAAATCCCAACCACCGACGTTCAGGGCACTGTCCTGAGGCTTCACATATGAATCTCACTGAAGCCTCAGGAGAAGCCCAAGAGGGGGGCTTTATGAGCCCATTTTGCAGTCCTCTGCCCTGCCAGCTGAGCTCTGGAAGGGACCATCAGCCCACTTTGTAGCACAGGAATCTGAGACTCAGAGAGGGTTAATCGCCTCCCCAAGGTTGCAGAGCTAGTGAGTTACAGGTCCAGAATCTGAATCCAGGACTGGGAGCCTCCACAGTCTGGCTCTTTCGCAAACAGGAAGGATAACCTTTGCTAAAGGGAGCAGCACACATAGGAGAAAGAGGATGAACCACAGGCTTAACCCAGAACTAATATAAAACCCCGCATCAGAGCAGCACGAAGTCCTGAAACAAGCTCTGATACTGCACAAACCTCACGGGGGCCAGACCCCGAGCTCAGGATATCTGGAGTGGAGCGTCCTGCCACCTTTATGACCACAGACATTAATGGGTTGCCAGAAATAATCCCTCTCAGGAGGAGGACTTTTATTTTTGTGGCCCTACAGAGAAAGCGTGGACCTTAGGACTTTGTAGGATGACAAAAAAAAAAAAAAAAAAAAAAAAAGCCACTTCCCAGTAGTCAACTGTATAAAAATAATTTTATTTACTACTGTAAATAAAGTAGTGCAAAGAGTAGTTTGGACCCACAACATTGCATTACTGATTTATTTACTACCTTAGCAGCATAAAGTATACAGACATTCTGCTCCTTCTCTTACACACACACACACACACACACACACACACACACACACACACACCCCTACACAGACTCAGGCAGGCATAAGGGGTGGGGATGACACTATGGACTAAAGGCTTGCTTTCCGTGTATTCCGTCGCTGCCAGTCTATCCTAATGCGTAATTCATGGAGAAGGCTACACTTAAATACTAAGAATCTCTTAAATGTTACTTCATGGATTGCAATTGAAATGTAAAAGATATCCAACAACATCATTAAATGATTTGGAAGCACTAGGACCCTAGAAAAATCCAAGGAGAAAAATGTAAACCAATTTACAAAGCCATCGCCTTCCCTGCCTTTCCAGCCATAAACTGTTTACTTCAAGGTGCCTTATAACTGCTGGGTCTTGGAAGTCAAAGAGAAATCTGTCAGTTCAGCTTTGAGGCAAACACAGGTAGCGAAAATACTACCTGGCTTGTAGAGAAGTCTCAGTTTTCTGTTCTTATTCTCCATAAAAGGGAATGAAGGATGCACTGAGATTCTTAAACTGCATCTTAGCGTATGAGAATCCAGACACGCCACAGGGCGAACTGAGACTCCTGATACACACAGTCACGGGGACGAGGGTCTGGGATGACCCCGTAAACCTCCCCACGCATCCCACGACCAAGACGTTCCTTGCATGTGTTGGGTAGCCTTTGGTATAACGACTGCCTGCTCTGGGTACTTCCTTTATAATTAGATTTTTTTTAAAAAAATGACACCAAGTGCAAACTTTGCATCCAGTTGACAAGACATTTAAGGTGTTTATCAGGACAATGGCCTGGCCCCAGCTTTCCCATACCAGCCGTTCAAACAAAGGGTTCTCTCTCATCTGGAGAGACCTGGAGAGCACAGTTCACCCGCGTGGCTCCGGCGTGGTAGCGGCCGTGGGCTGGTCCCGGGCAGAGGCATCTGCAGCTGGAGGCACAGCGGGGCTGGCAGCGGATGTGGCGGGGTCTGAGGCGGCGCGAGCTGGCGCTGGAGAACTGCTGGCTGCAGAGACACACGCACCACAGGGGCTGAGTGCGCGAAACGGTGCACGCGGGACCCACAGCCATGCCTGACTCCAGCAAGCCTGGGGGAGACGCCTCCGGTCTGGTGACCCTGACGCTAACTAGACAGGCAACTTTGGACCCATTATCTAGGTTTCCTGGACTTTGGTGTAGCCTTCTATAAAAGGACAGGTTGGAACAGGACATGCAAAGCTTTCTGATCTCCTGAGATTCTAAGTTATCATTAATACATTTATGCCATGATGTCCAGACAAATATTTTGATTTAAACAAACAAACAAATAACCCTTTCATTTATGGTTAGCGAGCTGTGGTTCTATCTTTTTTTCCTGCAATGTCAATGGAATTCCTATAATGCAAGCTATGAATTAGACCAATCAATGAGGAGCATTGGTTTTATTCACATTCTTATTCTATTTGGATGGTGTGCCAAATGTGGTTTAAATTATTTTATTTAAATAAATGTGCATATGTTTTGAAAAACATAATTACCAGGTTTGATTATATATCAATCTACCATTAGTAAGGAGGTTGGACCGCATCGACTTTAGGGAAGCTTATAGTTTTATACTTGATGTAGTTTTCAGATGGGGGCGATTTTGCCTCCCAGGGGACAGTTGGCAGTGTCTGGAGAAATTCTTTGGGTTGTCCGCACCCTGGGGGAGGAGGTGCTACTGGCATCTAGTGGGTCGAGGCCAGGGAAGCTGCCAAGCACCCTACAATGCACGGGACAGCAGGGTCCCCTGCAGCACAGCACACTCCGCCTCCCAATGTCATCGGCACTGAGGCCGACGCACCTGCTTCACCTACTGAGACTGAGACCTACCCTGGCTGAGACTCTAGGCGCTGGAGCCTGCCTGCTCTGCCCTTTAACAGCCGTGTGGCCCTGGACAAGTTACCTGCCTCCAAAAAGTGGGAAAAATAAAAACGTCTGGACCTCCTTGAGCTGTTACAAGAGTTAAATAAGTTAACAAATATAAAGGGCTTAGAACAGTGTCTGACACTGGTGAGTACTCAACAAATGTTAGCTACTACTACTACTAGTGACCTGGTTTGCCGCGGCGATGCGTTACGATTTATTAATTCCAGGTGCATGGCTCACAGGGCTAATGAGAGTTGGTGCATCTATTTCTAGAATGAATGCCTAAAAGTTCTCTTTTAGGCCCCAACAGCCTGAGAAAACAGCACAAACTTTGAAGCCAGAAAGACCAGAAGTCAAACTGCTCTGACATTTACCAGCTGGGTGATCTTAAGTTCCTTTACTTCTCTGAGCTGTAGTTTCTTCACCTGTGAAATGGGGATAACAACTTGCAGGGTTGCGTGAAGTATGGTTAGCTCAGAGGCCACAGTCTGCAAAGAATTGTTAGTTTGCCTTTGAGCAGCAATCTTCATTAACCTCAGCTATGTTTTAGTCTCACACAATTCTCAGTAGGTTGGGGCCATTTTTAAAGGTTCCCAAATGTCCATCCTGAAATGTACAGGCATTCAGAAGATGCCGCCACATGCTGACAATCCAACTTCTAGATACAAACCCTCCAAGAGTTCTACCTCCAAGCACCTACAGTCAGCCCAAGGGGCCATTCTGGGATGTTCAGGATGGGCCCTCAGACTTGGCTTTCCTGCATTATGTTCTGGAATTCTCCTTAGGGTCCCTTTCCAACATCTACAGAGGATGCTGTGGACTCAGAGATTATTCTGAAAGAACAGGACAGTGGGGGGAGGGTAGGATGTTGTAGAATGATGTGACGTTTCTAGGGTCATGAGAGCTATCACTGCTGTAGGTAATCCTGTGACTAGAGGCCCAGTAATGAGGTACAAAGCCCATTTCACTGCAGTCAGGAGACTTGCTCTAGGCAAGTCCCCTCTGCCACTAACAGGTGACTTTGGGATAGTTAGTGGATGGCAGACATTTCCGTTCTAAAACGCTTGAATCTCATGGGGCTCAGTTTCCTCATTGGGGTATTGAGGGTCTTGGATTAGAAAGTGTGCAAACCCCCTTTGATCCTGACATTTATCTTTCCGACGATCTCTGAGGAAGTTAATAAAGTCCAAAGCATGTATTTTCAAGCTCAGAGAATGTTTAAATCACCATGGTAACAAGATAAATCAGCAATCAGTTTTCTGATTGAAAAAAAAAGTGCCAATGTGTAAATGTAGAAGGAATGCATAATTAGCGTTGCTACCATTTAAATCTTCTGGTAAGAGCATAATAAAAATGCTTGATGTTTCTACAGTAAATTTGTCATTATCTGTGTGAGAACTCTCCCCCTTCCACTGGGGGTTTGCAATCACTGCAAAAGCCCCCCACAGCCCATCCTAATTTTAAAGTGGCCTCTTTGTCTCTGCTCACCTGGGATATGTGCTAATTTTATTACTAGACTAGAATCAAGGTAGCCAGGAAAATAAGTGTGCTGTTTAAAAAATTACAGAGTATATTGCAGAGCCAAATAGAGGTGATTTGTGGATTACTTGCTGCCCGGGGGATCATTTTCTGTATATTAGTAAGAATGATCAAGAGTTGGCCCAAACCATGGCCCACGGGCCAAATGCAGCCGCTGCCTGCTTTTATGTGGCTCACGATCTAAAAATGGGTTTTACATGTTTACGTGGTTGAACAAAAATCAAAAGAAGAGTAATATTTCACAACATGAAAAATATATGAAATTCTCAAGTAGTTCTTCTGGAGTAGTAAAAAAGAATATATATGTGTGTGTGTGTGTGTGTGTGTGTGTGTGTGTATGAAATTCAAATTGTGTCCATAGTAGACCTTTATTAGAAACCTAGCCACAAGGGCTGCTCTTGAGCTAAGAAGGCACAGGTGAATAGCTGTAACAGAAATGGCTCCGAAAGCCCAAAATGTTTATCTGGCCCTTTACGGAGAAAGTTTGCTGGCCCCTGTTGTGGACCACTGTAGGAAAAACATCTGCTTGCAACTGACCAGATGGGAGCATAAAAGAAAGAAAAATATGACAGAAAATATTGGCTTAATCCTGAAATGGCAGAATGTTTGCAAAGATGAGCAGCAATAGAGAAGCCCTAGAAATGGTATGCTAGGGATAAGATCTAGCCTACTTCATCTGAGCCTCTGGGCCAAGTACAGGTATAAGATTCACATCACTGAACCATTTCCTTTTTTTTTCCTCTTTCTTTCTTTCTTCTTTCTTTCTTTCTTTCTTTCTTTCTTTCTTTCTTTCTTCTTTCTTTCTTTCTTTCTTTTTTTCCTGAGGTGGGGTCCTGCTATGTTGCCCAGGCTGGTCTCAAACTCTTGGCCTCAAATGATCCTCCTTCCTCAGCTGCCCAAATGCTAGGATTACAGGCATGCACCACCATACCTGGCAGAAACATTTCTTATGAGTGGCCATACTGCTAAGTGCCAAGCGTAATGAGATAGGACCAGATACAACCTCACCTTTAAATCTCTCTGACGGTAAGGCTACTGGTTTTTTCATGAGCACCGCTTTGTGACATTTTACTGTAATTTTAGTAGAAACCTCATTAACTAGAAATGCAGAAGACAGGAAAAGACAAGGAAAAGGATTAATGAATCTCGTTCGTATCATCTTACTCTTTTCAAAATGAATGCTAGGCTAACAACTTAGCCGGAAGGGATGCAGTGGCTTAAATTATGAATATATTGACTAGACTCACGTTGGTTTAAAAGGTTACCGAGTTGTACCTTGGGGCTGGCAGTTCTGCAGACCTTGTTCTATAGCGTATGTTCTATTTAGACAGAAGGTTGGCACTAATATGAGCAAGGCAGGGCTCTTTCTTTGAAATGGTGACTTCTATTTTCTCCCTCTGTTCTTCCCTTTCCCTGCCTTTGGGTGGCTGGTCAGGCCCCAGGCTTTTTTTTTTTTTTTGGTCTCAGGGGAGATTTGTGGAAGGGCAGAAGTGGAAATGGCGCCAGACTTACTTTACTTTGGGATTTTTTGTTTCTCAAAAGTCTGATCCATTAAGGCCATTATGTTTGGTGTCCTTGACCGGGAGGGAAGAGGGAGAGTGCTTTTGAGATGCAACGGGCAGGAAGAGGAGCTTTCTGGAGCCTGGAAAAGTGGCCGAGCCTGTCTGTGGGTTGCACCTGCAGCGGGGCCCTTACCGTTCTGCTTCAGCAACCTCAGAAACGAACAGTGGGGAGCGAAAAGGCCACTGGCGCCGGCATTACCAAGGACGATGGAACTCCTGGGTGACCCAGAAGCTGCTAAGCCAATAACCTGGAGGGACAGTGTAGGCCCAGGGTGACGTGTGTTCTGCTGTCAGACTGCTGACTCTCTGAGTGACCTAGGGCCACCCAAGACCCGGGACCTCTGCACCACCTTGGGAGGCATTAGCCTCAAGAAGGACTGAGCTGCCTGCAATAGGAGCAGGAGTCAAAAATAAGCTCCCTTGAAGGAAATAAAAGTGCCGCACAATATTCTTTGCGCACTATCTTGGTACTTTCGATAGATTTGTCGATGTCTTTGTTTAGATGCTTTAAAAAGGAGTTTTATGTTTTAGAAAGAGTCTAACAGCATAGAAAAGCATGCGAGGCGCTGGTCGTTGAGTCTGTTACTTCCTGAAGTCAATCAAGCCACCTAAGTGCAGGCGCTACCTGGCGTCAGCGTGTTGTGATCACAGGTAGAATGCCCCGGATGGAGGACATTCGTTCTTGGGAGCCACCGGCTGACTTCTGTGGTATTCTAGAAAATTTCAATTGTGTGTCGTTTTTGTTTGGTTCTCTCAACTACGACAGGCCATAGGTGTCCTATTATTTCTGCTATTTTACAGAGGAAGAAACCGAGGCACAGATAGGACGCCTCCTTTGTCCAAGGCCACACAGCCAGTGGCAGTGCCGGCATCTCGGCAGCCTGGGAACCGCCGCGCTGCACTGCCAGCCTTCCAGCGCGGGACCATTTGATGTGGCGAACGCCGTGACGAGTCGGCCATGTATCACGGCGCTTGCAAACTCGGGAGGGAATGAAGGTAGCTGGAGCTGAACGCAACACGGACGGACAGCTCAACTGAAAGCTATAAATCGCTAATTTTTAAAAACAACTGACCGGAAAAAAATGCAAATCACGAACTGACAAAGCTCCCCAACTTACAGCAACAACCCTCACCCAAAGCTGCTGATGGGAGGCTCCTAACTTTTAAATCCATTTCCTCTTCTTACACTGTCACTCAGCACCCAGAGTCCCTTACTGCACTGGCTTTACAAGGAACGCCCGGCTACGCCAGCACCTGCCGCCGGCTCCCCCGCTCCCCTGGGACAGCCCGGAACCTCGCACCCCAGCTTATCAGGGAGACTTCTTTTTTTTTTTCTTTTCTTTCTGTCTTCTTTTTTTTTTTTTTAAAGACAAGGCCTCAGTCTGTGGCTCAGGCTGTAGTGTATGTAGTGCCATGGTGTCATCATAGCTCACTTCAGCCTCAAACTCCTGGGCTCAAGCAATCCTCCTGTCTCAGCCTCCTGAATAGCTGGGACTACAGGTGTGTGGCATCACACCCAGCTAATTTTTTTACATTTTGTAGAGACGAGGTCTTGCTATGTTGACCAAGCTGGTCTTGAAATCTTGGCCTCAAGAGATCCTCCTGCCTTGGACTCCCAAATTGCTAGGATTCCGGATGTGAGCCACTGTGCTTGGCCTTTAATACTAATTTTAACAGGCATGGTGGGAACCAACACGAGGGCATGCTTTGGAAATGTGTGGAGACTTTATTTTTTTTTTTTACTTCTAGGCTCTTCCTACTCAAAATATGGTCTACCCCATGGGCATTGCCTAGAAGATTGTTAGAAATGTGGAATCTCAGCCCCTACCCCAGGCTTCCTGAACCATAATTTGCATTTAATAAAATGCTGGAATGATTCATGTGCACATTAGAATTAAGATGCACTGGGATAAAATTTACATATTGAAATCAACATTATTTTATTATAATTAGTTTCTTTTTATTACTCCTTTATATTGCTGTTAGAGCACTGTATTGATTGTTTTTTAATGTGTGTAGGTAGGTTAATTATCACGAATTTCATTTCAAGGTACTAAAAATTGTGTTATAAAATATTTCTTAGGTGAGGGGGCGATGGGTTTCAGACAGATGACAACCGCTGTTTTAAAGTATTTTGATTCTGAAAAAAAAAAAGCTTGAAATTCTGCCACCCTACATCCTTTCTAGGCTTTTATTTCTCTATCCGGGCCGGCAACTTCACTCTCTGGCCTCCATTTCCTCATGTGTAAACTGAAGGGCATAGAATTAAATAATTTTTAAGGTCCCGTCCGGGTGTAGCCACGTCCAGGCTGGTAGAGAAGGTAAGTGCCAGAAGACGCAAATGAAAAAGTTTGAGAAAACAAAGAAAATGTGTGAAAGAACCACAGGGACAAAGGAAGGGAAAAACACATCACAGGACGGGAGGGACAGGGAGACAGGAACGCAAAGGGACTGATAATGCAGCGGTGAAGACAGGGAAGAGACGACTTCTGATCAAAGCAATTGCACCCGCCCATGAATTTTCATGGCTACCAGCTGGCATAAAATCATAAAGACAAATTTCGGCTCCTCTAACGGAATTGCATTGTAATAATCATAACAATATTTCTGCAGAGTAAAAAATGACAGAGATAATTTGAAATGGAAAACACTGACAAGATGCAAAATAAATGTCTCTACCTGGCAACAAATTCAGGGACGGGACAGAATTTGCATGAGGGGAATTTATTAACTGGCAGACTACGGGCATCAAGCCTGGAAGGTTGGGATGGCTCCTTGCTAACCTCCTCAGGTAAATCAGAGGGAAACGATTCCGTGCAAGCCTCTCCCAACAGTGACTTCCTCGTCACCATGGAAGAGAAGGGGACGCACGCTCCTTTCGCTTTTCATTATCTGCGACACAAATATCAGCTACGCAAATGCTCAAATGCCATGTCCACTCCTAATTTGTCCATTTGTAAACGTCTCTGTTAGCCTTAGTGAGTTATTACGTCCTTTTGGAGCTGTCCAAGATGGCGGGAGACTAACTTTCCACCGGGAGACGTTTGTGGGCGTTTGTGAGCACCTACCAAGCGTGACGGGACTGGGGCCTGGCTCTGACCCAGCTGAGGGTCTAGTAGGAGAGATAAACATTGTAGCTAACATTTACTGGGAGGGTTTTATATGCCAGATAAATAGAACAGCTAATGTTTAACTACGGTTGTCATTTTGATAAGTGTCTTACGTGCATTTTTTTCACTTAACACTTTTTGCATTTCACATCCTGGAAAGTAGCTGCTTATTATAACCTCATTTTATTGAGGAAGGTTAAATAGCTCACCCTAAGTCACAGAGCTAATCAGTAGCCACGCCTGGGTGCTGGGCCCAGATGGAAGCCACTGGGGCTCCCGTGTCCTTAACTACTCTTCCACGCTAACTCAGAAAAGCAGCAGCGATCAGTGGAAACCACTCTAGACCCAAAGCCCGCTTTGCATTCCGGCTGGGTCCCTCCCTTTCAGCCCATGTGCTGGGTATTTTTATGCATTGTGAGTGTTTGTTTGTCCTCTCCCGCATTTGATTGCTTGACTGGAATGAACTTGACTGGAATGAACGTGAAGACTTCACGCTGCAGGGGGCTTTGGAGCTGGGTTTTCAGGCACACCAAGGTAGAATTCTGATAGAAGATGAATTTTCTTTTCTTTTTTTAATAAGCTATTCTTTTCTATTTTGCATTTGGATTCAGCTGGAATAGAAGATGACTTTTCAATGGGAGACGTCATATGAGTTCAGTTTCTTAAGCTCTTTTAAGAAAATCCTTACTTTGAAAAATACAATAACTTTGCGGCCTCCCACCAGCCAGGGATTATGACACGCCCCCCCCCCCAGGAACCCCCACCCAGGGAAGGACCATCCTAAAGACAGGAAGTAGCACGGCCAAGGGCGTGAGGAGGGAGAGTGTAATTTTTCTGGTGAAGAATCTGTACTTTTTTATATGGCCTTTTTTTTTTTTTAAAATAAATCTTTACCTGAGACAGACTGGAAATACTGCACAATCCAGGCGATCCACACAGACAGCAGAAAGGTTCCCAGGAAGTAGACCTGCAAACATCCGAAGCACCTGTCAGGTGACTGACAAGGGCCAGGGGCACAGGGGCGGGGCGGGGGGGGGGATGTGACACCCACCAGGGCTGAGTGCAGGACGGCACCCCAGACGAGCCGCACATGAAGGTAGAGCCAGGCCAGGGAGCAGGGGCTGAAGGACTCCTCGTTGCTGTGGCTCCAGCACCTGTAGACAAAGCCCAGGGAATGGTGACAGGGCGGCTGGCTCTGGTGGCGCGACTCCTGACTGGGTATTTTCAGATCCTCAAGCCCACGTTCTTCTGCTTTCCTTACAAACGAGCACACTCGAGATGCGAGACAAAGAAATAAAGCCAGTTCTAAGTGCTTTGGCCTGACCTGAAATTCTAGGATCCTGGCAGAAATCTCAGAAGAAAGGTCAGTCCTGTCTATCCTTTAATTAAAAGACAAGGAACTCTGAAGCACAGGGCCAGGCAGAACAATATTTCTGTCTGCATGTGTGTCCAAAGTCCAGACGTAGAATCTCTCTCTACCTTTCAGAAAAGCATGTGTTTTATTTTTTCCACTCTCGTAGAAATTCTTGCTCAGCACTTGAACGTCAGGTCAAGTATCTTCTATATATCGAGCCTCAGATACTAAAAAAGGGAAATAAATAGCTGAGTGTTCTCTAATAGAGGCAATTTCTGGGTCCTTTTTATAACAACTGACATTACAAAATAAAGGTAAGACTCACTTTCACCAACAAGCAAACACCACCCACGTGGGCTACCCTAGATTCCACAGTACTAGAAGGCTCCAAGCTCACCTTTCGTATAGTTCCCGGAGAATGGAGATGTTATTAGAATGGATAGTTGAGTCAATTTCCAAGAAATCCAAAATATGGTTTGGGATTATAGCACCTTCCTCAATTAGCAGGGCCAGGTTAAAAAATCCCTAAAAACAAGTGACAAACCAAACTCATCAATGACTTGTAATAAAACCCAGACACATACCCTTCATCAGCATGTAAACTTTTACAACCTCTAAAATTTTTTTTTTCTTCAGTTTCTAGAGCCAGATGGTTTTGTCATCTTCATTGACGAATTGTTTCCCTAAATATATGCATCTGGGAAGTTTATTTGCAGGAGAGCCAGGAGGCTTTCAGAGGATGCTGTGTCTCCCATCTGCTCAGAAGCCAGTCAACCGGGAGGTCTGTCCTTTCTCGCTCATTCTCTCAAGACAGAACTTGCTGGAAAATGTGCCCTTGTATCATCAACAAAACCGGAATACCGAGTCGAAGGCAATGTCCACCCGGTCAGAAATCTGACAAAAGGTTTCTGTGGCTGAGGGTGTGTCCCCTGACTGTCATTCCAGTGCAGAGTGTCTCCCTGATGCACAGAATAACATATGGGCATTGGCCTCAGCTTCCCTGGGTCACAAGTCCTCGTGGCACAGACGGCCACCTTTCCCCCACCTCTTCCTCCAGCAGCTTGTTCTGGGCTCTCAGAGGTGGGACCCACCTTATTGGGCTGTATGGATCCAATAAAACGACACAGTTAAAGGGCCTGATCTTTACTAGACGATGGATACTGTTGCACTACCTGGAGGAAATGCACTCTCCACCACGAGCCAAGCACGTGGCCAGACTAAGAAACAAGCAAAAACCCCTGTGGCACTTACCATTAGGGCTTTACAAATTTCACTGAGTTGTTGCCCTTCAAAGAATCCACGATCATGGGTTAATGGCTTATATCCTCCCTCCGACCTTGCCTTTCAGTTGCCATTGACAACAATCTAAGTGAAAATCACCATCCAACAGGTCATACGCTCCAGAATTCTCACAACTATCTCAGGTAGCAATCATGAAACTGCTAGCAGCTAACATTTTCTGAGTGCTTGCTGTATGCGAGGCACTGTTCTGTTTTTATATATGCTCATTTACTTCTCATAACAACAAATTGATATAAGTACTATTATCCTCCCTATAGATAAGGAAACTGAGGCACAGAGAGGTTAAGGAACTTGCCCAAGGTCACACAGCTGGAAGGTGGCAGAGCTGGGATTTAAACACAAGCAGACAGGATCCAGAGTCCCAAACCTTAACCTCCACCATGGTACCAAATAACCTCTAAATAGATGAAAGTGTTAAGTATCTTTAAGATGCGCATATGCGCGTGCATGCACACACACACACACACACCCCAGCAGAAAATGAAATACTTCTTCAATCTTTGAAAGGAAGGCACTCTTAAAACATGAGGTAATTAAAAGGAAAAAATGACTTTATAAAATTTTAAAGTCTCTGATCAATGGAATAATAAGATTAGAGTAAGTGGAAAAGTAGACCAGGGGAATATTTGTATGCAATGTACTAGCTTACTGTTCATTATCTACTAGGCAAATATATGAAGAACTAATTACGATTTGAATTTTAAAAAGCATCAAAACTTCAACAGATAAGCAGGTAAAGAATAAGAATAGGGAATTTACATAAGAATATCAAAAGTAAATTATCATAAACAAGTATGTATAAAAGTGTTCATCCTCACTAGTAATTAAATAAATGCAAGTAAAACCAATAAGGAAGTATCAACTTCTCGTTATTCAATTAGTAAAATTAAATCATAAAGACATCCAGTGCTGACAAGATTTCAATCATCTTCCCCTACTTAACCACTGCTCGGTGAGGTATTAATTGAAAAACCCTTTCAGGAAGCAAATTGCCCATACACTATCATGCAGTCATACAACCGTTTTAGACTGCTTGATTCAGTAATACTATCTCTCAGATTATAAGTACCCAAACAAAGAGAAAAGATGGAAATATGAAAATGTCCATTGTAGCACTAGCTATAATTGTCACACAATAGGAAACAACCTCCAAGTCTTCCTTGGTAGACTATAAATCACATGAAGGCAAGAGTACTATCTGTCTTTTTTATCTCATGTTCCCACTGGTAAGCGTTGTCTAAGACATGGTAGGATTAGATAAATAGGTGTTGAAACAATGAATGAGTTAGAAGAAAAAGAATGAGTACCCACCAATAAGGTACAGTGTAAGATATTATAGTCCATTAGCTCAACAGAATATGGGGCAGCTATTACAGTAATAATTAAAGAGACTATGCAATAAAATGCACACAGTCCTACAATGAAAGATAAGACAGATTTTAAAAGTGGCAGGTAACATAGATAGCATTACAGACACATTTGCCTGTAGGCAGAGACTACAAGGAAACATGAAGCCATAACAGAGTAAAAGTCCCTGTCATGAAATTACGGGTGCATTTATTTTATTTTTTTTGAATTTAAAAATTACCCTTTATTATACCAGCTGGGCAACATAGAGAGATCCCCATGTTTACAAAAAAAAAGCAAAAAAATTATTCTTTATTGCTTTTGTAACATTGTCTTCCCCCAAAATAAAAATTATCCAGGCCTAATTTTAAATGACAGGACATACAATCAAAGAGAGTTTGTTTCTACAGAAAATCCTTTTAGGAGCAACTTCTACTTCATTCCAGAGGAATAATAATAGAATAGATCATGTTCATTGAGTGTACCCGGCATTGGGCTCGGAGCTTTATACCGAACGTCTCATTTAATCCTCACGACCTACGAGGTAGCTGCTATTATTACCCCTGTTAACAGATGAGCAAATGGACACTCAGAGATTTAGTGACTCGTCATGCACAAAGAGCTGTGAAGTGAGAGAGACATGGGATTTTAACCCAGGTATATGACCGCTCTGATATAGTACCTCCGTTAAAAAAAAAAAAAAAGGGCAAGACTCAGGTAGGAATGAATTTCCAACTTCTATTCTGTGTTCAGATTCTATTTCCAACTTCTATTCTGTGTTCACCGAAACCTGTTGCATACAGAGGATAACAGCCATTCCAACATCACGAAAATGACCCCAAGGGCCTTGCAGTAGAACTTCAATTAACTAATGGAGAAGGAATGAGGGAAATAGAGAACGGTCATTAGAACACCACAGCAATAATAACTGCTGCAGGCAAGATCGGTTAAAATTTGTGGGTAAAAGTTTGAGAAACAAGAGATCTGCATAGTTTCAAACCATCTCCCTAAGGTCTCTATAAGTTAGAATGGGAAAAATACTGACTTTACGATGGAGAAACCACCCTAACCAAGCGATTGAACTTGACCTCACAGGTAATAAGACATACTGACATCAAGTGCCCCTGCCTGACACAACGTCCTGAGGACACAGCGCCTCTACAGCATGCTTGCCCCAAATGTGTAACTTCTGTCTATTCATGAGAATAGATTTAGACACAAATCAGGGGACCTTCTATAAACCACCCAACCAATACTCTCCAAAAGTATCACGGGTCATGAGGATGAGCAAAGACCGAGGAACTGCCATAGATTGGAGAAGACTGGAAAGAAATATGACAACTAAATATAATGTGGGATCCTGAGTTGGATCCTGAAACAGAAAAAGGACATTAGCGGAAAAACTGGTGAAATCCATATAAAGTCTGAAGTGTAGTTAATAATACCATCCCAGCATTCATTTCTTACTTTGACAACTGGCACTGTGGTTATAAAAGATGTTAACCTTAGAGTAAACTGAGCAAAAGGTATACAGGGACTCCCAACTCTTTTTGCAACTTTTCTATGAATCTGATATTATTTCAAAATAAGAAACTTCAAAAAAAAAACAAGTCATTGAGAGAAAAGTTGTCTCACTGACGTAGGCATTGGTCTAGCTGTACAAGCAAACCAATTCCTACTATGGGCATGCTTCTAATTCCTGAAGTTTCTACCTGGTGAGTCAGTCTGATAGAATCTGGTGGAAACACTCTCAGGTTAGGAGCCAGAGACTGGGTTTAGGCTCTGGCTGCTTTGCTTACTACTTGATTTTTTGGCCTAGAACAATTTATTACCTTGCTGTATCTTTGACTATAACCTGGGTATAATAGTCCCCACCCCCCACCGGATTGTATGAGAATTGTATGAGGAGCACAGTGGATTTTCAATGAAGGTCACCATTAAGGCCAGTGTCCTCACAGGGCTGTTGCATAGGGTGTGTGACATGGATGAGCAATGCCTTGTGGACTGTGCGGTGTACGGAGACGGAAAGGATCGTTAGGCCCCCAGGCCTCGCAAGCTCACACGCGGGCAGCCCCACCAGCCGGCGTGCTGCCGTTTACCTGGGAGTCCCCATCCAGCGCGGCCTGGGCATACATCTGCACGGACAACTCCAGGTCCTGGGACTGGTTTTGGTGGCCATAGTAGTACAGGTCTCCCATTTTCAAATATGCTGCAGGACACAAAGCACAGAGGCATCTGTCAAGTGGTTTTATTTCAGACTTTCATTTTAAATCATTGGCCCACTCACGTGACTGAGCATTTTGCCTATTCGAATCTGAAAACAGAACATCTTTATGTTGCCTTGGTGTGTCAAGAGGAGAAAAAAAAAACAGCTTTGCCCTGAGCACCCCTATTTCTAGACACGGTTTCCGTTCTGCCAAGTAACTCTCCTACATAGCAGCTTGTGAGACTTTCAGGCTGCAGCCTCGTGGCCCCATCGGCCAAGGCTGTTGTGGGCACTTCACTTCACATCTGAAATTTTGCTGCCCGTGTTCGATGTCTCTCATTTGTTTTAGCCACAGATTTTATTTTCCTTCTGAGAAAAAAACTTGTTTAAGAGTATATGTATCATACATAATGAGTGAGATGTGCACCATCTGGGGGATGGTCATGCTGGAAACTCAGACTTGTGGGGGGAGGGGGGGAAATGGGCATTTATTGAAACCTTAAAATCTGTACCCCCATAATATGCCGAAAAAAAAAAGAGTATATGTATCATGCACTGTCCAATCAGAAAAACAAGAATCCATTTCGGATAGTTCAAAAGAGGGATTTTACCCTGGGGAAGTAGTTACCAGGGTGTTGGAAGAGCTGAAAAGACGAATGGGAAACAATCGGTCACCCAGAGATCAGCAATGAGGAAGCCACTATTATCCCGAGGGCTGGGGAGCCAGAGGGTGGGTGTGATGTCACCAGAGCCCAGAGCCCCTTGGGAGCTGAAACCAAAGAGGGTGGAGTTGCCAGGCAGGGGCTGGGGCCATGGAAATGCAGCCACTGCCAGAGACGCAGTTCAAAGCAGAGAGAAGGGGAGAAACATTAATTAATACTTGGGCTTCTGCTCCCCTCCTGCAGCCTCCTGCCAGGGCCTCCTGTTGGCTGAAACTAATCAGAAGCCGGTGGGCAGAGGCGTCCGGGAACTGAACCTCCTGGAGGCGGCCCCCGACCTTGCGGAGCACAGCAGAGGAAGCCCAGAATACATCTGAGGGCAAAAGGGGGAAGGACTGGCCCAGGAAATCACTCCGTCACAGCTTTCTCTTTTGAACTCTCACTGACTGGGAAGAAATGATGGGTTCAAGCACACGAGGGGGCAGTGGGTGAGGAGAGTGCCTTGCGGGAGGCTGAGAGCAGCATTTAGCCATGATCTTAATAGTAGAGACTTTTCACTTTCTTTCCTAATTGCTTAGAAATATCACACTTCACACGAAGCTGTTAGATGTTCCCTGTTACTAAAGACTAAAAGCCGCCAATGCTTCAATTTTGCACCCGTTTTTCTCTATACATACCAAATGAAGGAGCATCGATTTGAAAAACGGAGAAATTATAGTATCTCCAAACACAATTAACACCCAAGTATCTCCTGGCAAGATCCTAAGGGGCAAAGGGGAGAAAAAGTTAATTCATTAATATTTTGGCCAAGTGACCAATTTTGCCTCTGAAAAACCCAATTCATTATCCTTAACCTCAGAGCTTCTACTTGGAGAAGAATACATTTACTTACTGGCCTCTCCTCACAGATGTGTGCTAAATTTGTCTGTGACACTTCAATTCCAGTTTCTGCTGCTAAAACATAATACAGCAAAGCTTCATGCCTAAAAATAGATGATTAATAATAAATTTCATATACTGGCTCTTACTAATATTCACAGAGAGCTTTATATTCAAACATAAGAGGGCACAAAATAAGCAGTTTTTTTTTTAAAAACCACAAAATCATGAATTTTTTTTTTTAAATAAATACTGTTAAAAATACTGCATGCGCTGATTTATTTTCTATCTTAAAGGCTGAAGGCACAGATAAGGCTGAGAGCTAGTTGATGCAACAGCTACCTCTACTGGCTGAGTGGTATGTCGGGACTGGCTGGGGAGTTGTCTATTAGTCTTCAGTCCTTGAATCCTTCTTCCATCCTCACTTAGAGGAGATAAGTGGTATTAAGAAAAACCCATGTGCTTTAGAGTCCTCTGTTTTGTGAAAGGCTCTATAGGGCTTAGGATTCTGAACAAGCTCAATTAAAGCTGAGCTTTTGTTGTGCATTAGAAGTTTGGCAAAGGAGAGGGAGTTTACAAGGGGCTTGACCAATGGCCAAAACATATTTGAAAAAATAAATATTCGACACCACTAGTAATTGAATAATTGTAAAATAACGAGTGTCCACTTTTCATCCGTTGAATGAGTGGCACAAGATTCACACATGAAATAATGGCAAGGGCTTGGGGACATGAACATATTCCTACAACCATTGCCAGTTCAAGGGCCAATTAATGAGATGGTTCTGGAGGACAGGAGGGGAAAGTCTTAAAAAATGCATATACCATTCAGCCCTGCAGCTCTCCTTTGTGTGTGTGTGGGTTATTCTAAAGAAACAATCAGAGACATGTGCAAAGATGCTATTGCCACAGAATTCATGGTAGAGCTATTTACATGGACAGAAAAAGCTGGGAAGATCTAAAAAATCAGTGATTAGTTAAATTAACCCATGATGCAGCCACTTTCAAATGTGGCCATTAAAAATGATGCGTGGAAGAGTATTAAAAAACACAGAGAAATTTTTATGCAAAATTTTCCATTCAGTGAAAAAAAAAAGCAGGGTATAAAACAATGCATCCCATTTTGCAAAACAAAAATAAAGCTGAACACATATATACACACATATACATATGCATATACATCAAGAAAAAAAGAACTTTAAAAATTATCTACCAAAATGCTAACAATACTTATCTCTGAGTGGTGAGGATGCAAGTAATTTTTATTTCCTTCTTTTTACTTATCTGATTTCCTTGATTTTCTATATGTTACCCAGTTTAAGAGTAAAACTCTATTTTAACCATAAGTACTTGTTCATAAAGCTTTTTTTTTCTTTCATTTTAAGTAGTTGATATTAATAACTTCTTAATTTTAGCTCCACCTAGGAAGTGATTTAGGGAAGGGCGGGGGAAGATTGGGTGAGGGTGAGTAAGGGAAGAAGATTCTGAAATAATCGGTGCTAAACTTCTAAAAGCAGCTCCTGGCAGACCAGCCCTTGGAGACGGAGAGAGGTGTTGGGGATCAAATTAGGACAGTCAGACATGCTGCAGGTCATGGGCCACATGGCTGCTGAGTGAGCCAATTCTCAGCCTCTGCGATACCTAAGGCAGCTGACCAATTAGCCATGACTCATGCTAAAGCGAGACGAGGTCGGCTAAGCAGTGTCCCTGCAGAGGCAGGCCAGATAACGAGCCTGCAAGTGCAGCTGCAACAACACAAAAGACTCTGGGGATTTTCTAACAAAGCCGCAAAAATCAAGTTGGGTTGCAAGAATTGTCAGGGCAGACCCCAGACCCCAGACAGAGGGCCTGCAAAGGAAGCCCAGTGGAAAGTCCCCATCAGTTTGCAACAAGGTCCTGTTCCTATGGTCTTATAATCTCAAGTGTCTTTGGAGACACTCAGGCTTATGCCAGTGCCTCAGTTTCCACCTAGGATCAATAAGGGAAGGAGATGGTGTAGACCTGCAACCCAAGGTCAAATATCATGCCAGCACCTTCTACTGCCATAACTGGCTGCCATGTGGCTCATGTTACTAAAATGTAATACAATGAATTTTTCTTGGACAGTGGAAAACCAGTCGGCTGGCTGTTAGAATGCGGGGTGGAGGGAATGCAGGTTGACACTCTCTGTAAAAACACCCACTACAATAAACTTCATAAAGAAAATATCCTGAATTTTAAGTTATCTTGGTGGTGGAGGAGGGAAGAAAGAAACAAGTTTTATCGAAGACTTCTACTGTCCACTTATCGTATAAACCAAGAAGAAATGTCATAGAATTCTCAAGCATTTCCATGGAGGAAGCAACTGAAATCCATCAAAAAGGGATGTCTGAAAAGGTACTTGATGTCTACAGAAGTGCTAAACAGAAATCCCCAGAAACTCTGTCTTCCCTCTTGCAGAATCAATCACCAGGCACCTGTGCACCCCGAGACCACCACCACCTACTTGCGGATATTGATGTGTGAGCCCCAGGGAGGGGCTGCATAGCCAAGACCAGACTTTCTCAGCTTGTTGAAACTTACGAGACAGCATGCCTCCGCAGAAACCCTACCCACATTTAGCCTCCCAGCACTTGGCTTTCTCTTTACTGTGTTTCAACAGAAACAGCTGAAGTATTAATTATAGATATTTCTACACTTATATTCACGGAACAAACATTTACTCAGCATTTGCCAATTGCAGGAGGCCCAAAGACAAGCCACAAAACTATTGTCCTTCCATGAATTTCCTTAAGGTTTAGGAAGTCAACCGGAGCTTCAAGCCTTATTTGCAATGCATTAAAGTGAAATTGTCCCCCAGACAATCATTTTGACAGGGATGGGGTTGGGTGGGTGCAAGAGAGAAGGGGATTGAGAGACAAGAACTAGTTTAGGGGCACATTTACTACCCTCCCATTTCAGACCCAGTGCATGCATTTCTAGAACTTTTATAATGACACATCTTAATAATCACTCCTTTGGCTGTTTGCTGTGAATTGTGAATTTGAGTACCTCTGAGCAGTTTCTCAATTATATTATTTTCTCTGTGCTTTTTACTGCCAATGCCTGAAGCAGCTCAGATTGGAAGGATGAAAAAAACTTCTAAGGTCTCAGTGGAATTGAGGACCCCTGCTCTATAGCAAAAAAGTGAATCTCTTTCAACTGAAACTTCGCATGCTTACTTGTCTTGCCTCAAGCCCGCTATAATCTGGCTAACCTCCTGGGTTAAGTATTTTTGGTATATTTAAGACAAAGGCCAATAAAACACATAGCTTGCAGACAAGACACATGTAGGGGGAAGCCAGAGAGAAATGAGACCCGACAGCTGGCCTTTCCTTCCCTAACTTCTTCTGGTGTCCGAGGACAGCCTGCGGCATGACGGCGTTATCTTCTGTATTATGCCGACACAGCAAAAAGCCCTTTTCTCAATCACGCTCCTCTTTTAAACCACCCCATATAAATCTTGGAACAACATAGAAAAGCACAAGCTCATCAAACTGACACATGTAATTTGAAAATAACGTCCGGAATAAATTCACTCACACAAAAATGAAAAAAGGAGATGGACGGGAGACATTGATGGATGAATTTAGTTCTATTACAGCAAAATAGATGGTACCAAAAATCATCACGTTGTGGTGTGAAAAGGCCAGCACACATATATTATATTTCCTATTTAACCCCCGGGGGAGGGCTACAGGCTTAGAGAGCAAGAAGGGATAGAAGCATTTTGCCCCAGATATATTTTGACAAAGATTTTCTCACGGAATAGATACTAGATGCTTCTTCCCATGGATACTGAGAGGTCTCCAATCCAGGCTGAGACTCATCTTTAACAACACTTAGCATCAGTATCAAGGTTTGCAAGGACATGGAGCAACAGAAATGTATACATGGTGGCAGAGGGTAAATGGGTAAAACCACCTAGGAAAACAATTGGCACTGTCTTGTATGGTTGGACAGGAGTCCCCAAAATGACCCAGAGTCCACACTCCTAAATGTATGTTCTAGAGCAACTCTTCCTAGGTGTGCCAAGAGATACATAAAAGATGCTCATGACCACACTGTTCTTACAAACCAAAAAAAAAAAGAAAAAAGAAACGAACCCAAACATGCATTACCAGGAGAATTGGTAAATCAGTTGTGGTCTCTTACAGCAGTAAATATGAATGACCTACAGGTACATGCATCAAAATGTACGAATCTTAGAAACATGATATAAAAGAGCACTTGAAGAATTATATATGATATGATTTTAATAACATAAAGGTCAGAAATAAGCCAAGCCAAATACCTTGCTTAGGAATATATCCATATACAGCAAAACATAAAGAAAGCAAGGGGCGGATCAACCAGAGAATAGGGTAAGGGTTCCTTCCGGGTACCGGGGTGGGGGTGAGATTTAATCTGGAGGGACATGCAGGGGCTTCAACAGAACTGGCGATGTTCGTTTTCTTAAGGAAGGTGGTAGGTTTTCACCTGTTCATTTTATTTTTATGACTTGAGACTTACAATTACATCACATGTTATTTCATATGTATCAACGATTATATGACGAAAGACTAGAAAAGCCGCTCACTGGCTCATGCCAGTTCAGTGCTCAGCTCCTTTTACCTGGATTTGAACCGGCTCCCCTTTCTGCACTCTCTTTTCTCTTCATCATACACAGCTGTTCGGTTAAGCAGCTTAGAAACAGGATCTGCCACTCCCTCTCCAAAACTATCAATGGCTCCCCACTGCTTCACAAATGTATAACCTGCCACTCAAAATTCTATAAAGTAGCACCTTTTTGGTTTCCTTATGTATTACTTTCAAGTCTTACCCTCAAGGCAAACTGGAAGGCTTAAAATTTTCTAGACTCACCCAGAATTTTCCTATCTCTTTACTTTTGCTTCTAGAGTTCCCTTCACTATAAACATTGTTCCCTGCATCGCTAAGTGCAAGTTCCGTCCGTCCTTCCAGGCCGTATCACCCACTCCGCCCGTCAGGAATGCTGTCCTGCACTTCCCAAGCCAGGGAGCACCTTCTCCTCCGCAGAATCCACAGCCCTCTTCACGTGCTGCTCGTGGCCCTCGAGTCACAGCTGTCCCCTCTCTTTGCCTTAGTTCACCCGTTCAGTAGTTTCCAAGCACTTCCCAGGTGCCCCAGGTGCGGGCATTGGGATACAAGTCACGGGGCAATTGACATGTAAGGAAATCACTCAAAATTCACGGGAGGATGAAAGGGAGTGAGGAGTTAGGCAGGTTCCTGGGCAGAGGGGAAAGTGAGCAGAGAGGCTCAGGGATCGGATAGAACACGGGCGGAGGAGAAGCTGCGTGCAGAAGAGGTGAGGCAGCAAATTTCCCCAAGCCATGTTTGAGGCATCCCTTGAGGCGTACAGAGGCATCTTGCATTTAAGCGCACTCAGTAAACCTGCTGGACTGAATCAAAACTCACACACGGTGCGGGACACACTTCAGTTCTCCTCTCCCAACAATAACGGCAAAGAAATCCCATGTTGTGACTAAGTATTGTAAGAGAGAGAGCAAGCCGCAAAAATCTTAATTCCTCTAGCCCTTCATAGCAAATTTTTAAATGTGCTAGCTAAAGTGCTTTGCAATGGTAAATTCAAAACTAGGCCAAAACGCTAAGCTTTTACACTCGTTTTATGGGAAAAACTGTGTCAGACATCTTGGGGGGGGGTATGTGTGTGCAGATGTTTTTTGCAGGTGTGCTCTCCCTGTGGGAAAACCCACATATAAACACTGTGATAGCGGAATGCTTAGTTCACTCTAAGAAGTTTGCAGGGAGCAGAGGGTGGGAGATTGGCAGGATGAGAAGTAGTAAATGAGTTAAAAGTCAAATTTGGGAATTTTAGGAACTGAAGTTCACTTGGGAAACAAGATAAAGCACCACAAAAATTGTAAGGTACATTTACAATTGGGAAACAGTGATTTCCCTAAAAAAAATTATTTGCAATTGTGCAAAGTGAGGCCACAGATAATAAACTTTCATAGGAGGATAATAATAAACATTTATATTTGGTGCTTGCTTTCATTGGGCTCATTACCTCCACATGCTCTAATTTAAGATTAAAATCTTGAGATGCTAGTTGTTGGTCATGCGTGCAGCCACGCAGTAAGAGAGAAAAATGGCATTCTATTGGACTTATATTTTAATTTTTAATTAAAATATAAGAGTGTGATGGATGTTAGGTCTGGTTTATTGTCTTTGAGGCAGTGGACCAAGGGGATATATGCTGATTTGCATATCTTTTTTAGTGATGACGGAAATACTCGATAGTTGAGACAATAAACCGGCCAAGAAAATGCGGCCCAAGGGAAAATGAAGGTGGAGTGCTAGAACCGACAGAAGAAAACAAACTACTCAGGTAGAGTGTGGAGAGGTGTCCCAAGTAACAACAAACAGGGGGCATTTATAAGTCCTCATGTGCCATGTCTCATCCCATACAGGACAGGATGAAATCTGCTAACTTCACCAGAAGTTTAGGAAGGGGCGTCTGTCTGGTTGTGACCCTGGGCACTGTGAGTGACTTCCAGCAATTCCAGGCTCCTGGTCTTGGCAGAGGTAGTAACATGCCTCTGAAAGAAGGCACCGTGAGCCTTAAACACACTGATCTCTCTTCTTCCTAGGAACAAGATGGAAATCCTGGACTTCCCGTGGCCTGGAAGTGAGAAGTGAAGGGTCTCACCTAAGATCCCCTTTGCTGTCTCTAGGCTCTAAAACCAAAAGGAACCAGCCTGAAGGAAGGAGAAGTCAATGTATTTGTGTATCTCTCAACTTGATGAATGTGGATGCTCCCCCCCAACAGAGAACAAATTTTTGTGTATAATTAAACATGGAAATGCTGTTTTCCAATCAACAGCCAATCAGTCTGTGATACTCTGCATATCATTACTGGGAAGCTGTGACTTCCCTGCAAATTGCTCTTACAGTTGCATTTTAAGACTCCTTCTCATAAGGCTATACTGACAGACTAAAAGGTAAGGACTGCGAAAGTTCATTCATGTGGGTCCCAAGCTTACCATGAGCCCTCCAGGTAGGCATTGAGGCCTTTGCGAATGACATGGCCCAAATAGCCATTTTTCTCAGCTACGTGCTTTGCCCATCTGAAAAGAAAAGGGAATAGAAAATATGCAAACTGTGGCAAACTTAATAATCACTTTTTTCTTCATATGATCCCAATAAATCCCACTTGGGGAATATTTTGCTTGTTAGAATTTTTACAGAGCAACAAACCAGAACTGAATGTTAAGAAGGTAAATAAAATGCATTTTGAAAGCTTTTCATTCAATGCCCTTTCTTATGAATGCTTAGGTGTTGTAGTTTATGGAAACAATGACATGGATGGTACATAATTAAAAATATCTACCCATTCGGAAAACTGTAATCTTCACCAAGAGTTCCAGTACTCTCTCTATTGAAATGTTTACTAGTTTATTGTTAGGTTTCTCTATTTTGTTTCTGTCCACTAATTTATCTTGGAGGGGTTTATTAGTAATGAATCAGTTTGTTGTAATCTTTAGACTTATAGCCACTACAAGAATAATATAAGAACACATAACTATTATAATAAGCTAATAGAAGGGGGAAATAGAATAACTTTTAAATATATTTGATTAATACAAAGGAAGGGCAAGAAAAGAGAAAGAAAGGCACACACACCAAAAAAAAAAAAAAACCTATGGGGGACGAGTGCGAAAGAAATAGAAAACACGTAGATTCTAAACCAAACATATCCATAATTACATTAAATTTAAATGGACTAAGGATACCAATTAAAAAACTAAAATTGTCAAACTGAATAAAAATATACAAAATATCGTGGCCTGGAAGTGAGAAGTGAAGGGTCTCACCTAAGATCCCCTTTGCTGTCTCTAGGCTCTAAAACCAAAAGGAACCAGCCTGAAGGAAGGAGAAGTCAATGTATTTGTGTATCTCTCAACTTGATGAATGTGGATGCTCCCCCCAACAGAGAACAAATTTTTGTGTATAATTAAACATGGAAATGCTGTTTTCCAATCAACAGCCAATCAGTCTGTGATACTCTGCATATCATTACTGGGAAGCTGTGACTTCCCTGCAAATTGCTCTTTCAGTTGCATTTTAAGACTCCTTCTCATAAGGCTATACTGACAGACTAAAAGGTAAGGACTGCGAAAGTTCATTCATGTGGGTCCCAGCTTACCATGAGCCCTCCAGGTAGGCATTGAGGCCTTTGCGAATGACATGGCCCAAATAGCCATTTTTCTCAGCTACGTGCTTTGCCCATCTGAAAAGAAAAGGGAATAGAAAATATGCAAACTGTGGCAAACTTAATAATCACTTTTTTCTTCATATGATCCCAATAAATCCACTTGGGGAATATTTTGCTTGTTAGAATTTTTACAGAGCAACAAACCAGAACTGAATGTTAAGAAGGTAAATAAAATGCATTTTGAAAGCTTTTCATTCAATGCCTTTCTTATGAATGCTTAGGTGTTGTAGTTTATGGAAACAATGACATGGATGGTACATAATTAAAATATCTACCCATTCAAACTGTAATCTTCACCAAGAGTTCCAGTACTCTCTTATGAAATGTTTACTAGTTTATTGTTAGGTTTCTCTATTTTGTTTCTGTCCACTAATTTATCTTGGAGGGGTTTATTAGTAATGAATCAGTTTGTTGTAATCTTTAGACTTATAGCCACTACAAGAATAATATAAGAACACATAACTATTATAATAAGCTAATATGAAG